TGTTTCAGGACTGGCTGAAGCAGGGGGTGTATTATGACATCAGGACCCTGTTAGGGGTGCTCTCTCTCTCTCTCTCTCTGTCTTTTTTGGTCATGGAATAAATACATAAATCTTTAAAAATACAAAAAGTTGTAAAAAAAAATAAAATGCTTTGGATTAAATCTTATCATTTTAGTTTTTTAAAAGCACAGCATAAAAACTTCATGGGAAATCATGCATCATTTTCATTTTCCCAATGGTTTCCAGTGTCCCATATTTCCTAGGGGAGAAATGCCTTAAACAGTTTGAAAGCTCTTGACTAATTAACTAGATAAATCATGATGTGTAAAATGGCACCTTTATGAAGATAATGAATTAATCTCTAGGTACCACTGGGGCCTAGAATTTTGAGCTTTGCTATAAATTGCACCATCTGCTGCCATTCTGCCTCACACATACATGATGGGAACATTTTTTTTTTAATAATTGACTGGCATCGATTGAGCTATTACCTAAAGTATCTTTTTAAGGTCTTTAGTTATTTCTTGGCATACATAACATTAAATTATTTTTATATAAATTGTGTCATTATACATAAATTGTATGTGACATAATGATATATTGTATTACTATATAGGTTACATATAAAACAAAAAGCAGACTTGGGACCAGCAGTTAGCATATGCTACTGGACTCCCATACGGCCGACCACAGTTCAAGTCCCAGACTTAGAGGCTTGAAACTCATACCACGTGCACACGCATGCGTGCCCAAAATACCAAGAGGAGAATGGAGGAGAAGGGATTGCAGCATGGCCATCCCCCCTGGGGAGTGAGTTCTCGCTTTCCGTCTCTCTGTCTCTGTCTGTCTGGCGAGCGCACGCACCCTATGGCAAAAACCTCTCCAAAAAAAAACAAAAACAAAAACAAAAACAAAAACAAACAAAAAAAAGAAGCAGACTTGGCCACACCTAAGTGTGAAAAAGATGAATTTGGAAAGAAAAATTTAAAATAGCAGCTACTGTAACTTACTGTTGTTAAAATGTGTAAGTAAAGGGGAACCAGCAGTTAGCGTAATGGCTATGTCGGTGGACTCCCACGTAGTCGACCGCAGTTCGTGTCCCGGACCCGGTGGCTTAAAACTCACGCCGGGCACGTGTGCGTGCGTGCCCAAGATCCTGAGAGGAGAATGGAGGAGAAGGGATTGCGGTGTGACCATCCCCCCTGGGGGGTGATTTCTCGCTTTCTGTCTCTATGTCTCTCTCTGTCTGTCTGGCGAGCGCACGCCTACAGTGAAAATCTCTCCAAAACAAAAAAAATGCGTAAGTAAAGAAAAATAAGCTATAAAGGAAAACTTTAACAAAGCATTAGCTCTCCTCTGTTTAGAAATGACATACCAATTGTTAGATGAACGCTAATCTTAATTCTGGGCCAGCAAAGACAACTTTGTTCTGTTATTTCACTCTGTAGACAGGGAGGATGAGTCTTGCATAGCATGAAAAGCAACAGGTCATGCTGCAGGATCAATAGGTCATCCTATGGGATTTTGACCTAAAGGATGAAAATAGGAAAAGAGCAGCAGTCTCTAGACAAGACAAAAACAACATACTTAGAAAACGTCGGGCAATCCCTGCGTTTACTCTGGAAAGTGTCTGGGAGAACTTGAATGGTGGAGAAGCCATCCTCTAGTTTTCCTCATTGTAATTATTGGTTTTGTTTTGTCTCCTGAAAATGAGGAGGAGAGTGGGAGAGCATATGATGTCTCAGTATTTCTGCTGAATTATTGAATTTACAGCATTTGATTAGGAGAGGACACCATACCCCAGAAGGGACCTGGCCACACCTTACCCACTGTTGCACATGGGTCACCCTCTGTGGTTCTCTGTGGGATGCAGTTTCAGAGACCCATCCAGCCTCACAAGGACAGGTCACATCTTCATGTGTATCCCAGACTCGCCCACATGGGATTTCTCCACTGGAGAAATTTATCCTCCAGACTTTCCTGGAGTGATTTTCTTCCCTCGTCTGATTGGTAAACATCCATTCATGCTTCAAAATTCTGGTCCTGTTGGCTTCTTGGTGACACCTTGGTGACAGCCAACCACCCCTCCGGACTGCCACTTCTCAAGCTCACTGCGAGTCAACATGTCTGATGTGCTGTGTGTCCCCACCTCCCAGCTGACCTAGCTCCTCCGGTGACTGCTGCCCACAGAACGGGCACCCAGCTGTGCTGCACACACGTCTGTCCTGCAAATTAGTGGTTGAAAAGAGACAGGCTGTATGCAGGTCCCACACTTTATAATATGGGTAAAGATTTTGAAAATAATCATTTAAAATATTTCCAATTCATTTCCTTATCATAAATGTTTCTGACACTTAAAGCAGCTTGACTTTGAGTTATGGCATCCACAAATGAAAAGTTAATTGTTTGCATCATAACTCATATAATAGGATACTAAGAATATAAATTATTTTACAGCAATGAATCCAATTCTCTCAACTCATCTTGACACACCCCTCTCTGCCCTTCATTCAAGAGTGTTTCTTTTGAGTTTCTGAATATTCATTTCAGGGTTGGTACTTTTTTTTTTGAGAGGTTTCTGCTATAGGGTGTGTGCGCTCACCAAAAAGAGAGAGAGACAGAGACATAGAAAGCGAGAAATCACCTTCCAGGGGGATGGCCACACCACAATCCCTTCTCTTCCATTCTCCTCTCAGGATCTTGGGCATGCACACACATGAGCCCGGTGTGAGTTTTAGCCACCAGGTCCAGGACTTGAACCATGGTCGACTACGTGGGAATTCAGTGACATAGCCATTACGCTAACTGCTGGTCCCAGGGTTGGTACATTTTGAAGGATGAAAATTTTCCAGATTCTTATTTCAACATTGATTTGGGTTGTGTGGGTAGTGTGTGTGTGTGTGTGTGTGTGTGTGTATGTTAGAAGGTGACGCCATGAAGATGGTGAAGGGAAATACAAAACAAATACAGATAGAAGGGGCATCCGAAGGGCAAGGTCCTTGGAAGGAGAGAGGCTACAGTAAGTGTTCCATTTCCCTGTGCTCTTTTCTCCACCTCATGTATCTCAGTAGATGTTACAGAAAGAGGGTTCCTTTCCTCATCCTTTGCCTCTTTTTATTTTGTTTAATGAATTGATTTGAATACAGAGGGGTAAGTAGTTTAAAGGGTAGGCTTACTATGTACTGGGGTAATGATAGTCTAATCTGTGTCTAAAGTCTTCTTGTTCAGTATTTTTAATACAATGTTCAAAATTGTAATGTCAATAGTAACTAAAATGATTCCCTCCTAAATTATATGCTGTCTCACCTTACTAATTAAACCAACCAACCTTGCTCAGGACTGTGCTCATCTAGTATCAAATCAAAACAAGCAAACAAACCAAGTTTGGTACAATGTTTAATATCTTGCCTCCTAGATCTGCCCCTAAATAATGTTTGAATCTTCCTTCTTTTGTGACTTCATGATTCATTCCTCACTTTTCTGCAAACTGTCATGTCCTGGCCCAACCTAGTGGTACAGTCAATAGAGAATAAATCATAGTGCTGGAAGTCACACGGCGGAACATGGGCTCAGGTCCCTGGGTGGGCCTGAAGACACACCTGGCCTGGTATATAAATGCTCAAGATTCAGAAGAGCTGGAGGGCTGGGGAAGGTAACTGTGGCGTGATGAGGACCTGTCAAGGGTGCTTTACTCTCTCTCCTAAACCTGAGCACATACACAAACTCTCTATCATAACTAAAGCAAGTAAACTTAAAAAAAATTGTCGTATCTTTATCATTTGTGACACAGTTTTTTAATTGGAAAAATGTTATTTCAAGTACTGGGAGAATTTCCTATGAGGGAATGACAATGCTTCCTGTAAACATGGACTACTCTAGTACCAGTCACTTAAATATTATTTTTAGAGAATAGAATGTAAAGTATTTTATTTCATATGCTGTTAAACCTAATCATTTGTTACTTCAAACGACCAGCATATTTCATCTCATGTTTCCAGAGAAAGCATGCCTTCCTTTCTTCTCATCTAGTCTATCATTTTCTGTTAAAATGTGCCAATTACTTCCATTAGGAGGATAAAAAGGTAGAAAATCCCTAGGTACCAGTACTTAGCAACCTGTTCCTGGAGAGGCAATAGCCTCATTTTTCTTTTCTTCTTTTCATTTAAAAAACACTCACCTATTGAAAGAGAAAGACTTCTCACTGCTGGCAAACATATTTCATAGCTTTTCATTAAAGCCAAGTAATAGGATTAGTGTTTAAATGATTAGGAAGGTATATAAGCTTTTACAAAGAGAAAATCTAATTAAGATGATGTCCACAGAACTCAAGAGGCTAATAATTAACCAACCTAATTGTGACAGGTCTATTAGAAGGTCTTGCAAATGTTCCGGAGCATTATTATTACGCATACTAGGATATAACATTTGGGTAAGCTTTTGGAGTTAGAAGTATGTAGGATGCCCTACCTGTGTAATATGCACTGGCAAAAATAAACTATGCTATTGCACTCATTTTTATATTTTCTACAAGCTCTCTATACTGTTCCAGAAGTGAAAAAATAAACCATAATTCCTAGAACCTGAATCTCTATGAACAGGTTGTTTCACCACACTAAAAAGCCATGCTGCGGTGTGCCAACCAGCGTGTGGTCTGAGAAGGATCCTGGAACCACCTCTGTGTTGCACACTTACTAGGCACTTTGGAAGGTGCCCACACTATTCCAAACTCTTACCCATTTGTAACATTGTCTGAAAAAGTACACATGGAGCACAACGTTTGATAAAAATATATTTAAAACAAGCAAGAAAAAATAGTTTGGGCTTTAAGGGTAGCTTTCATCATTCTTTTAACCAAGTAGAGTTAAATGATATGAATAATGGTTTCATGTACCAACTTATAAAAGATGTGACAAATCAGAAAACAAAGAACAAGAGGACTCTTTTTTTTTTCAGAAAAATGTATTTGCAATTCAAATGTTCATATAAAAAGCATTAATTTTAAAAAGTTCATAGATGTGTGTTTTTAGAAGTGCTGTGGTTTCACCATTCATTGCAATTACATTCCCAAGTGTGCAGTGTGCTCCCCGCTGCACCGTCTGATACTTTTGTCACACTGAAGTCACTCTCATCACAACCTCTCCTGAGCTGTTATCTTCTGACAAATCTTCATGTGGCCTCATCCGATTAAACAAATGCAATAACACGTAGCCACACTGAAACCTTGGCGAGGTTAATTGTGTTGGGTGGACCAAGTTTCTGTTCCGCAGAGCCGTCAATGGCAACCATAAAGTCCTACTCGTGGAAGACTCTCCTCGGCTACTTTCTTCGATGTCTGTGGCTTTGTCATAATTTAATACATCCCAGTGCAAGTTAACAGCTCGCCAGCGCTTAAATACTCTGTAAACTGCAGCTCCTTCATGAACAATGAGACCTAAAGTTCAAGAAAACAAATAAAAACCTGGTGATAATCAGCGACTGGGAATGCTATTTTGCATACAAGCAAAAGATTGAAGAAATACATCATCTTTAGCTCATATGGTATTCTGACTACTCAAATGTTAGAACTAGTGGCAAGTTACTACACTTATTACACAGGAATAACCAATATTCAAAGGATAAGAATTTACTAACATGTAGAGCGTTAAGCTGTCATCAATACAATTAACTTGTTCCATAATGGTTCAGAATATGCCTTAGACATTTACATTATCTTTGGGGAATCATCGGGTTTATTATTGATTCAACATCTATTTCTAGAGTACTCCTGTGGGCCAAGCAATATTTTAAGGCTTGGACCCAGCTGGCAACTCTGTTTGGAAAAGATATTATGATAAATACAGATGTTAGGGTCACATGCATGCCCTAGTTCCTAAAATTCTTGACACACGGTAGGTACTATGTTACTTTTTTCTTAACCATACTTTCCTCAACAATTCAACAAAAATGTACTGAACATCTAGTTGAAAGCTACATGTATAAAATTTGTATTCTCACCACAGTCCTATAAAATAAGGACTAGCATGTCTCCTGTTTTACAAACAAGGATATTAAGGAACTTATTAGAGCATACAGCTGGTAGTGGTAGAGTAGAGACTCGAACCCAGGCAGGCTGATTGCATAGTTTTTGCTCTTCACTGTTATAAATGAAATTCATAATTACACATTTCTGAGACAGACTTTCAGGAAAATAAACAAAGGTGACATGAGAAACTCAGGAACAATAAACTGGCAGACCACAGGAAGTCAGATATCCTGGTACATGGAGTCATCTCCACGGCCCACCCCTGCTCCAGCACACGCCTTGTGATTTTCACACTTCAGCAAGTAGCCCAAAAGCTTCTCTATTTGTGATCCCTCAGAAAAGGAAAAGAGGAAAAGAGCTTTTGGGGGGAGGTCCCTGTGGATAGAGAAGTGAGTAAATGTTCTTCTCTTTGAGAAAGCTGAAGTTCTGTTGAAAGGCAGTGGAGAGGCCAATGAAGAATCTTCATTATGGATGTAATGTGGCTTAGAAGTAGAATATGAAAATTGGCACAACCAATTAAATTTCTTTTTAATATATTCATGATAGAGAATGTGTGCACACATGTGAGAGAAAGAGACAGAACCTCTGGTCACACTACGGTTCCTTTCTTCCAGTCCTCCAGCCTATCAGACCATATGCCCTGCATATTTCCAGCTAACTGAGCCAGGATTGGAACCACAGTTGCCATGTGTGTTCTTGCTTCTTTACATGAGTGCATTACCACTGTGCTATGAAGCTGGCCCCACAACAATTTTTTACTGATGAATTTGAACAGATATTACCTCACAACACTTAGACACTTGGGTATATGTCCTCGAGACACTTTCACATATGTGAACAAAGAACTATGCTCAAAAATGTTGATTGTGTAATTGTATTTGAGAAAAAAAAAACAATCTCAATGTCGATCTTCAGAAGAATAAATACATTGTGGTAAATGGGTTCAAGAGGCTACAGTAATTAAACAGAAGGGAGCAAAGTCATATACAACAACATGGATACATCTCAAAACCATAATGAGCCTCTCAAAACCTCAATTACAAAAATGAAAGTTTGAGAAAGAAATGACTACGACTATCATGAAAAAACCCACATTTTTACAGATAAGCATATATATGGTAAACACATAAAGGTGCACATATATGCATATTAGTGGGCAGGGGAGGAAAGAAATAAGATTAGAGAAGGACTTCAAAGAGGGCTTTCAACTGTACCTCAAAAGTTGCATATTTTAAACTGACTGGTCTGGTAACATTTTTAAAAAAAATTTTTGGCCTGAATTTCAAAAATCACAGAGAATTTATTAGGAAGATGGATTGAGGAAATGGAGAGACAAATAAGGAGGCTGCACCATGACACGTGAAGAGCAGAATGGGAAGACAGGACAAAGTCATTACTGATAGGGATTGGAATGGATGGAAGGGGGGAATGTCAGAGTCCCACTTCTTTAAGAAGGGAGGAAAGGGTGATTGGAAAGATGTAGTAACCTTTACCTACATACAATTATCAATAGCAAGAGTTTAGAGCATGTTTCTATTGGGGAGATTACTGTATTTCTTCATCAGATAATAACAAAACATTGCCAGGTGGATGACAGAGATACCCTGTCCTTGGGGGAAAAAAATCACACTCATCTATTGCCTGAATTTGGGTTTTTGAATCACTCTTTTAATAGGAGATAAACTTCTGATATGTGGGTCTTAAAAACATTCCAAAGATACTAACATAGGCCACTAAAAAATGCATGTGACCTACTAAGTAACAATGTCTTAAGCCCAATTATTATACACCTACCAAAAGAACAAGGAGAAACATAAACTTTTGTGAATAATCATTTTAAATAATTGTTTTGATCAAGTTCTTTTTCGAAAGGAATAGAAGTTGACCCAACTGACCGGATGTTTTCAGAAAATAGCCAGAATGAAAAGATGAGACTATCAGCATTTTAATGGGTGATTCTATTATTAGATCTTTGCGTTCTCCATGGCCAATGATTTAACCTTTCTGGTTCTATTTTTCCTTTTTAAAATGCAATTAGAATACTTCATCTTTATACTCAGCAGGACAGCAAGAAGATAAATTGGAATTCATGAACTAAAAAGCACTCAGGTTTTCTCTGAGATGGTAACTGTATAAATGCAAAACATTATTATTAATTAAAAAATCAATAGTGAATCTTTGTGGTGATGAACACCCATTCACACTAATCACAAAACAATTACAAGCTGAGACATGTTTATCCAGGGTTGAGTGTAGCAGTGGTGGGGGGTGGAGAGGTGACCTCACCAGGGGAAACCACTCATTTTGCATGACCCTATTTTTTTAATTGATTTATTTTGAAAGGCCAAAAATCAGATCATTTACTAGAGCTTAAAGTCACTTTCTGGGAATATATTCCTAGCAGCTCTTTTCTAAATACATAAATCTACCAATGTGCAGAAATAAACCCTGCAGGTCATTAACAGTACATTTTTAACTGAATTTTAATGAGAGAGAACTATTTGAAGTTTTCAAAAAGACACAGCCCTCTTGAATTTCCAGCCTCGTGGGTTGCTTCTTAATTACCCTAAGTTATAAATAATGTTTAGATTATGTTTTATTCCCTGTGAGCATTCATAATTACTCCTGGCCCTCTGGAAGCTTAAATTTTCCTGAAATACAGTGAACTCCATTCCACCTCCATTCCTCTCTGTTATGTCTATTTTCCCCTGCTCTTTGAATGAAGTTGTGACAAATGCCTTTTGTGCTAGTGGTCATGAGAGGAAATGATTATTATGATCATAAGGCCAGGGGTAAGGAGTCATTCAACTCTAGTTCATTGTTGAAAACCCAGCTGTACTGGTATGCTTTCTTAATGATGATCAAATGAATTTGTCACCTTGACATTTCAGGTCATATGAGAACAAGCTTGGATTTTATTTTTTTTTATGAGTCATTAAGCCTGAAGGGAAAGCAATGATAATTTCTGCAAAATATAAATGTGAAATATTTTAGGTGCCCCAGCAGTAAAGCAAGTGTATGTAAGCCTGAAAACCACATGGCAACTGTGGGTTGGAATCCTGAAAACACACCAGGCAAGCATATGGGTACTCAGAATTCTGAGATCCTGAAGGACTGGAGGAAAGGTGATAACAGCGTGATGAGAACCTATGGAAGGTGGCTGCTTGTTTCTCTCTCTTTCTCTTTCATTCCCTTTCTCTCATGCATGCACGTGCGCTATCATTAAAAAAATTAGATACTTGATACATTATACATGGCATGGATGTCAACGAAGTGGGATTCATGAGAACTTGGGGTTTTGAGAGATGAGGTGTACATGTGTGCGTGTATGTATGTGATTGGTGGTTTTTGTCATTTTCTTGCAAATAACATCTAATTGGAGCATCCCTTTATTGACATACAAAAATACTGTTTTGTGTTAGAGAATAATCTTGGAAAACAAAATAGCCTTAAGTAGAGTCTGATTTAATTGAAATAATGTTTTTTATGTAAGTAAAATCTTCTAAATGTTGAAGTGGTATATGAGTTGAAATTGTTTACAATAGGAAAATATGAGCTAATTACTAAAAGAAATGATGAGGAAAACTATCAAATTACACTTGGTCGCATTCTCACATGTTCATGCATGTACACACAATCACATACCCTTTGTCTATATTTTCTTCAGCAACTAAAGCGTTAAAATTAACAGAGACTTGAAAGGTTTATGGTCCACTACAAACAACTTTCGTGTCATACTAACTACCAAGACAGTAATCAATCTCTTTTCTTCTGTCACCGGTCTCTGCTTTTATTTGGACAGGTTCGCTTGTGTTTCACGATCTATAAGTTTTTATCATGAATCTGTATTTTGTGCCAAGCACTGTGCTGAGAGCTTTACATGTACGATTTCCATTTCATCTGGACAGCAGCTCTATAAATGCAGACTGCTACTGAGCAGTTCACAGTTGAGGAAACCGAGATCTCAGGAGATTAAACAACTTGTCCAATGTCATGAACATGTAAGAGACAGAGCTGAGTTTGGAACCAAAGACTGTCTAAATGTGGAGCTAGAGCATGACAGCCTTATCCATGCTAAGTGGACAGCGTGTGGCTGGCTCTTCTAGTTATCTAATGATGGACCGAAAGAGCATACATGAACGCTGTATTTGTACACCTCCCACTCCCAAATTGATATGCTGAAACCCTAATCTCCAGTGTGAAGGTATTTGGAGTTGAGGCCTTTGGCACATGATTAGGTTAGATGAGGACATGAGGGTGGGGTCTTCATGATGAGAATCCTGCCCTTATAAAAAGAAGAGACTTATGATCTTTTTTTCTCCCTCTGCATGCACACGCTGAAGATAGGCCATGTGAGGTCGTAGCAAGATGGCTGACTGCATGCCCCGAAAAGAACTCTCATGAGGCAC